GAGAGAGAGAGAGAGAGAGAGAGAGAGAGAGAGAGAGAGAGAGAGAGAGAGAGAGAGAGAGAGAGAGAGAGAGAGAAGGGGGGAGGGGTGCAAGGGGGTATAAAGACCTCATAGGCCCTTGATATCATCTATTTCCTTCTCTGCCTGTGTATATGCATGTGCTGTTGTTTGTTTTGCGCAAAGTCTCTCATTGGCATAAGCATGAGAGCTCCCTCTGGGCAAGCCTCTAGTGTTCAGCAGGTCTAGTGGTGATGATGACAATGATGATGATTATGATGAATGATGCTCTTTGTTTCTGGACTTCTTTGTGATGACCTGCTGGTTGGCCATAGAATATGACTGTTCGAGGCCTGATTCTACTTAATTGCTTTTCATTACGTGTGGAATCGAGGTCAAGTCTTAAAAGTTGTGCAAACTGATCAGGATGTTATGTTCACCGACATCAGTTGCATGGGTTTGACATCTAATAGTGATGATTATCGTTGTGGTCATTCTCCATATTATTTCATATCGCAGATTGTGGCATCTGCACCTACTTTTCCTCAGGGAGTCATCGATCCTGTAGAGGTGAGATTGTCTGTTTCAGCTTTCGACCTTCACCATTGCTTCCCTATCCTATCCAAAACATCGGTTCTTTCTCGATTTATGCGTGTCATCCGTGCAGAGGGGCCACGCTAATCTTCTCTGCATCGTTCAAATTTTAACAGATGCCCCAGAGGGCACATTGGTTCTTTTCTAGATTCGTTTTTTTTGTAGTAGTGATCGAATTTCCGATGATTTCCACCTTTTCAGAATAAACTTTGCAGTGCACAAAGGCCGAGAATAGTCCCTAACAATCGATGCCTATGATAAAAAGCTCAGTGTCCAAGGCTGCAAGCTTCGGGCTGCCCCACCCTAAGGGGCAGGCGCGGCTGTACTGTGTGTCTAGGTCTTTGTGAGGAAATGTGATGGTCAGAAGCTTTGGGTCGCCCCAGACTAAGGGGCAGGTGCCGCTAGACTATGTGTCTAGGTCTTTGTGAGGAAATGTGACGGTCAGAATTATCTGGTAAAAAATGGGTTTATTTAGCTCCGCATTAAGGTTATTGGACTCTGACTTGTTTCTGACGGTCAGATTTCCTAGACACGGACACAACTCCACATACCAGCAAAAGCAGAGTTAAATGAAAAACGTAGGACAACACTTCCAGTTTTGCAGATACAAACAATCAATGAATCAATCAATCAGTCAAATCAAATCAAATCAAATCAAATCAAAGATCTGAGCCGATCCGATCCCATCCCATCGCATCCCACCCCATCCCATCCCATGCAATCCCATGCGATGATGCGATGCCATTCAATGCTATCCCATCCCATCCCATCCGATGCCATCCCATTCCATCGCATCCGCTCCCCTCTCCTACCCCCCCCTCCCCTCCCGTCCCCTCCCCTCCCGTCCCCTTCCGTCCCCTCGCCTCCCGGCACGTCCCGTCCCCTCACGGAAGGTCCCTTCCCTCCCGGCCATCTTCTTCCTGCCCGTTCCGTCCCGTTCCGTCCCATCCCCTCCCGGCCTGTCCTGGCCTCTCCCTGCCCATCCTGGGTCATCCCGTCCCATCCAAATCCGAATCCAAAGACTGAACTGAGCAGCAGGCACCGGGAAAGCCAATCAGTGATTCATGTTCTGCTGACATGCTACTGCCCGTCAAATTAGGGATGAGCCACTGTGACATGGAAACCAAGTCCTGAATTAACTGTTCCAGTGATGGACATCAACAACAGTGTTTTGAAACCCAGCTCCTGTATGGAGTACGCGAAATCCAGTGCCTGTGGCATTCTGAGTACCACACGGGCCCCTGCAGGGCCTGGCCCGGTAGATTAGGGGATAGGTAGGGGGGCCTACAGGCCCTGTGTCAGTTCGACTTAGGTAGGGCCCCTCCAGGCCCCTTGTCGTTTCAAGTAGGCCCCGTTAGGCCTAGGCCCTGGCTTGTCGGTTCAGTAGCGCCAGGCCCCCGGTTAGAGGCCCAGGTAGCCCAGCAGCAGGGGCACAGGCCCTGGGCGCCGGTTTAGGAGCCAGGCCAGTTTGGCGTTCGGGCGCCAGACACCGGCACTTTTCGGCTTTGGAAAGAGCAGCCTCCCAGCTGGACCAGCACTTTATAGAGCTGGTCCACCTAGGAGGCAGACAGGCATTCGTAGGCCTTCTTCAGGTAGACGCTGAGGAATCCGGTAGGAGCTCAGAGTAGTAGCAGCAGTAGTCAACGATAGCGGTAGGATTCCAGCGCCGTCATAGCGCAGCAGCAGTGCAGCGCGCGCGCGCGCGCTCGAGAGAGAGAGAGAGAGAGAGAGAGAGAGAGAGAGAGAGAGAGAGAGAGAGAGAGAGAGAGAGAGAGAGAGAGAGAGGACTGGGCTATGGCGGAGGCTGGGGTACTTACCTGAGGACTCACCTGTCGGCGCCAGCGCTCCAGCTTCGTTGTCCGTGCGTCCATACCTGCATCAAGGTGACACCTTTCGCAGGTTAGTACCTGGTATCCAGCAGAGATAGAGACAGACACACACACACACACACACACACACACACACACACACACACACACACAGAGAGAGAGAGAGAGAGAGAGAGAGAGAGAGAGAGAGAGAGAGAGAGAGAGAGAGAGAGATCTTCTTCTTCTTCCTCCTCCAGTCCATCACCCTTCTTCTTCCCCTCCAGGGCTCTGGTCCCTCCTCCTTCGTCAGACTATGAGAGAGAGAGATTGCGACATCGAGACTTGGTGACATTGAGATTCAGATTTGACATATGAGCAGCGACATTGTGGGAGACTATTTTGGGATCAGTATCGACGACATTTGTGTTGGCAACATCTCTCCTTTTTCTCCCCCTTCGTCTCTCCTCCCTCCTCCTCATCCATGTATGTTGGGGCCTGGTGCTTCTTCTCTGTGTGAGAGCGCCAGGTCTCTCCCTCACACTGAATGATGATGATGATGTTCAGTCTGTGGCATGGCATTGATTGGGTCTGGTTATTGGCATTTCAGTCTTCTGCTGTGCTATCCTTACTGCATCTGTGAGAGGTCGGTTCTTGGTTCTGGTCTGCACCACATTGGTATGCGACAGCGCTCTGGTGAATACGACGTAGAGACCAGCTCTAGTTTCTGAGTGAATTATGCACAAATATAAAAAGATGGTAGATGATCAGCTATACTCTTAACGCCTACTTAATCTAGCTACACTCAAAGCAGCCGTTCTTCTCTCTTCTTTCTCACCTGAGCATAGCAGATATATGCATTTCTGATTGCCTGAATCCTCCGACCACAACGAGCCTGCAAGCCTGGCGTCTACTGCTCATTATCAATGAGAGCATAAGAACTGACACTCTTTGCCCGTCATTCATCTTTACGACTGTCCTATTTTTTTTCAAATTTTCTGGGATGATCGCCGTGCGTAGCCGGGCGGCTGGTGACTCGCGTAGGGGGTATGCCGCCTGGGTCACCAGGGCGTGTAAGTCTGCGGTTTTTTATTTTTTTTTGCCGCTTGGGTCACCAGGGCGTGTGAAAAGTCTGGGATTTGTATTTCCTTTTTGCCCCACTGGTGGGGTGTTTCTGTGCTGACCGAGAGAAACCTGAATCCTTGCTCTTTTCTGTTTTTCACCATTGTCCGGTGGGGGGGCAGGGGAAATACCTGCTTCCTTGCAGCTGAATGGTATGCATTTAACTGTTGATAAATAGATGATGAGTTCAAATTCCGAACTTGAAGCTCGGTGAAGGGGTGTGGGGGCTGTAACTCCAGTCCTGTGAGAGCTCCTAAAGAGAGTATTTTGGTAGGTTAGGGGTGGAGAGAATTCTAGTAAAGAAGGAGGTGTGCTTGTCATATAAAACACGGGAGTTTGACAACTGATCCTTCGTAATTTGCCCCCATGTCATTTGTAGTGGATAGCAGTGGTTAAGGGGCTCGCGGCACCGCTCACCATATGCCAACATTTTATGTATCCGAACGTGGAACTGCTCCCAGGACACTCACAATGTTGGTGTTTGGCGAGTCGCGCAGCGAGCCCGTAAGACTGGATAAGATGCTCTTACAAAGTCATGTATTCTGGCTATACAATGTTACTGTGATGAATYCGTATGCCTTTTCAGTGTGTTGTGTGTTTGAAATTTGAATGATTATGATTTTTTCTTTCCCTTCTTTTTGTTCGTTTTCTTAAATGTGGGCGGATGGACCACGGATTAGATTTAACTGATGAGAAGGCATCATTTTGAATTAGAAACTGCCGCTTGGTATTGACATTTTTGTTGATATGGTTTGGTTACTTCTATTTGTATCTAATACAAGGCTGAAAACCCGGTCTTACCGGGGCCCCCTTTCCCCACCGGAACCGGGCCGGTTCTACCGGCCGGCGGACCGCGCTGGTTCCCCCCGGTTGCAATTTGCGCAATTTGATTGCGGGGTGGGTTTGAATTTTTTTGGGGCCGGGAGGCCTCCATGCGGGTCGTGGAGGCCTCCCGGCCCCCAAAAAAATATGAACAGGGTCCGGTCGGCCCGCCAGAACATTGAAAAACTGGCGGCCTATCTGGGCCATCGATCTGGTGAGTTCTGCGGCCCAGATAGGCCGCCCGTAATTGAATATTCGGGCAGGAAACCACCCAAACATCGGCCTGCCATTCATACGTTCCCCAGCCACCGCCCCCACCATCCTGCCTCCCGCCTCCAGCTGCTTTCGGGCAGTACAACCCGTCACTTCGACACTTCGTCGAAAGTGGACGAGGCCGAGACTGCGTCACCCATCCCACATCCGCCCCGGCCTCGGATCGCCATCGCCCTGCCCCGCCGTGTATTCGTAAAGGTGAGGCTTCCTCCTCCTCTTCTTCTTCTTCTTCTTACTATCTTCTTCCTCTTCTTCTTCTTCTTCCTCTGAAACAGCCCAAGTTTGCAAAATCTCAGAGAGAGAGAGAGAGAGAGAGAGAGAGAGAGAGAGAGAGAGAGAGAGAGAGAGAGAGAGAGAGAGAGAGAGAGAGAGAGAGAGAGAG